AAAATCTTATATTGAAAATATTGGAATGAATACATATTGTTTGTATTTTTATTTATATTTTCTCAAAGGATATATCAGGTCTGATTCCAAATGAATATATTTATTTCAAATAAATATACAAAATTTTCTTAAATATATCTATTTAAATATTTTTAAATATATGTGATTTTATACATATAAGTATAATATGTTTTTAATATAATATATTTGTAAATAGATATTATATTTTATTATTCAAACAACTTATAATTATAATTTTGTTTTTGTTTTGATTGTTTTTGAATACTTATTTTAAGTTAGCTTGATTATTATTTTTTATGAATATAGATAAGACTGCTCTTTAATAAAATTTTATTTATGCTTTATTTAATTTGTTGAATATTGGTTACTACAAAAATTAGTGACTAATATTATTCATTATTATAAAAAATACATACATATAATTGTAATAATTTTATATGATTTAATTTTTTGAGGCTGCAAAACTTATAGTCAATTTTTTTATTACAAATTTTATCTTTTATATTTATAAGTTATTTTCAAAATTTATTATATATCAGAAATTGATATCCAACAATTTTCTTTTCAAAAAATATATATGCAATAGTAATTGTCATATAAAATATTTTATAGAATAAACTAAAAATTAACCAAATAAAAAAAAGAAATGAGCCAGCAAAAAAGTCAGAAAAAGAAAAAGTATTATATATTTTTTGCAATAGTTTAATAAATAAAATAATCTATTTAAATCAAATAAATTAATAATTTTCTAATGTATATTTTAAATATATTAATAGTATTGTTATATATGTATGAATCTCATTCAGAGTTTTTTTAAAATTAAATATTAAATATAAATAATTTATAAATATACATGCATACACGCGCGCGCGCGCGATATACATATAATATTTATATATCACAATTTATATATTTTATTTTATAGTATAAAATTTTCTTTCAAATTCAATATTATTGTAAATAGAATTAACATTGAATTTTTCATTATTTTTGCATATAATGTTACTATTAAATTGCAATTAATTAAAAAATAATTATAAAATGAATATATATTCATATTCATATATTCATATTATATATATTCATATTCATATATGTAAATATATATATATATATATATCAATGCAATGTCTAAATATAAATATAATAATAAATTTTTAAATATATACATGAATTAGTTATATTATAAATTTATAGATTTTTAAAAATTTTTTAAATTTTATAATAAAAATTACAAATTTTTTTCGAAAATTTTTAAAAGTAAAATTTTTTATATGTAAAAAATTAAAATATAAATATTTTAGATATAATGTACATATTGCAAATATACATACGTTTTTATATAAGAATATAAATATCAATATAATTCAAAAATAGAATAAATTTATTATAAAAAATTTTATTTTTATTATAAAAATCAATATTATACAAAAATATTTGTTTTGTATTCTTTATTGATGTATATTAATTTTTTATACAAATAATATTATTTGTGTTATGTTCCTTTCATTAATAAATTATTTTTAATTATTAGAATAATAATTTAAAATTTTTGTTTAATATGTTTCATAATATATTATCATGTTGGATATTTAATACAATAATATTATATTCATTTTAATATTCTTATTATTTGAACAGATTTATGATTTTGTAACTTAGGTTTAATAAGATGAATTTCTAAATATAAATAAAATCATATGATCAAATTTGAGGAAATACAATCGAATTCCAAAAATATTATAAATTTTCTATATAAAAAATTATTTGTTAACTGTGGAATACAACAATAAAATACTTGTAACCTTTTAGATCAAAATAAAAAAAAAATGAATTCAATTTCATAAAAAGTTAAAAATTTACTTCGTATAATTCGTTTTCATAAAAATAAATAAATAACAATATTAATTATCTCCAAAAATGTTGTCATTTTATGAAATGATGCAAATATTATTAATTCATAACAATTTGTTAAACAATAATTAAGCTTACGATTTACAATATATATCACGTGATTTAGTTCATTTACATACTGTATTTTATCTCGTTAAATATATATTACATTAATATACATATTACAATATCTAATATAGCTATATTGATATAAAATATTTTTCATTTTTGATGAAATAAAATTTAATTTAATAATATCTAACTTTTTAATAAATATTATGTATTTAATAATAAGATATGTGTGTTCATATAATATATATATATATATATATTATATATTATATTATATAGAAAAATTAGAAATTTGTAAATTGTGGTTTTTTTTTACTATGCATATAAAAATTACTTATTGCTAATATTTTCATAAATTAAATCATATTCAACATTATGAATATATTATGAATATATAAAATAAATAGTTCATATTATGTAGCTTTTCTTATATAAATATTTTATTGCATATCTTTAAAAATTTTAAACATAAGAAAGGAAAATAAAACTTAAAACTTAGATCAAAGAAATGTTCAAGTGGGATTTTCTTCTTTTCACTCATCGTTCTTTTACTAGGGATTTTCGTACTATGTCAACACTTGTTGAAGTCATTACAAATCAAATTATTATAGAGGCGGTTCTGTGTTCGACTTTTTAAAAAGTTAACTTTTCGTGTTTATTTAATTATAAAAAATATAAGTATATTTCCTGGTGCAGAAGATGTCTGGTGATGTTCAAGCAAGAAAACGGAAAGAGAAGAAACGTAAAAAGGGTAAAAAATAGGCTACTGAAAGTGTGAGAAAATTATAATTTAACTTTCGTATTTATTAATACAAAAAACGAACAGTATTTTTATTAATTTTTTTAAATTATGAAAAAAATTTATAGATTAAAAATTGTATATTAAATTTCTTTCTTTTTTTAATTTTCAAAATATATAAATCATATTAGATACAAATACTGTATATGTATATATGTATATATATAGAGATTATTTAGAATATCTTTAGTATTTATAGAAATTATTTTAACGGACAGATATTAAATATAATAATTAATATATAATTAAAATAATATATTTGTACAATTTTTATTGTATAGCTTATTTGCAAATTTAAATAATTAAATATTACATAATAGATATACATATATATATTAAGTACATGTATATATACATATATATATATATAATTTACATGACATATCACATTTCATAATATACTTTAAATATTAAACAATTGCTTTAATAATTATCTGACAATTATTAACTATTGCACAATTGCTAAAATATTTTGCGAATTATTTTAATATATATATTTAATAATAGAAAATAATCCGAATTTGTTAAATATCATGAGTAATACTATATAATTCATTTATTATTATTCAAATTAATGAAATTTTATTAAGATTCGTGAGCTTTATAACTTTTTATGAAATTATAATAATATAATTTTGTATATAATTTTTTGTTATTTTTATTTGAAAATATAAAATTATTAATTTTTATTTAAAATTGTTTTTTTATATAAAATAATGTATTTTCATATTTTAAAAATTTTATATTTAATATAAAATTATTTATTAAATATTATATTTAAAAGTTATATATTATATTTCAAATTGGTTATAATATCACAAAAGTATTATTAGTATAATGTTGAATACGAAGTCTTAGATATTTTGAGGCATATTTGGCAATGTTACTGAAATTAGAAAATACAGGGTCTTAGAAGTTTGATCAGCCTAGCTTTTGACTTTCAAAAATAGATCTATATTATCCAGTCCGAAAACATTTTCCGCTAATTTATTTATATATTTTACATATTTTTAAAATATTGCAATTTATGATATAAATATTTATATTTTGAATTTGATTAATAAATATATGAAATATAATTATCATTTTTATTACATATAACACAGTATAGTACATACAATACATAAAAAATAAAGATTAATATAATAAGTACGATAATATATGTATATGTATTAATAATATTATATTAATATATAATATATATTTTTTATAAATGTATATTATTGAATATTATATATAAAAAAATATAAAAAAAATTGTATCATAATTAAAAAAGTAATAATACTTTATTTATATCATTTTCAAGTGTTGTTATTTTCATTATATCACAAACTTTATTGTAAAAGAAGAAGTTTTCCTAGAAGAATAATTATTTATAAAAATAATATCATGAATAATAATAATTATTAACATTAATATCGCATCTCTATCACTTTTGTAAGAAATATTTAACAAATATGTATATATATGTAAGTCTATATATAAAATATATATATATGGTTATTAATTATTATATTATATTGTTATATATAAATATATATCAAAAATGTATTGAACAAATGTATAATAAAACAAAAAACTTTTTGATATTTTTACTGATTATTTGATTTTTTTAAATTATTTTTAGTAATTTAATAAAATTAGTTTAAGAAAAAAGAAAATTTCTTTTATTTTCTTTATTTTAATAACGAATTTTAATAATAAAATAAATTTATTATTTATATTCTTTATTTATATATTTAAAGTTAAACATTTATTAAATTATTTTTTAATTTCTAATTAATATTAAAATATTAATTATAATTTATGTACATACAGTATGCAATAATTTATAATTTTTAATCATTTTTATATTATATTATAATACATAATATATAAATACTTATATTAAGTATTTATTATTTATTAAATTATATAATATATCATCATATTTAGATGAGGAAGATAACATTATACCATCACCTACTCTGGGAAATATTAATGAAAATTTAACAGATAATGTAACTATACATATTTATAAAGAAAGTACCACAGGAGGACATTGGTGTGCTCGAATTATATTCTTTGTCATTTTAACAATGCTTGTGGGTTTAATTGGTATAGTTATTTTTGAGCATAGGGGTACTACAGATAGTAAGTGAATTATATATATATCTTTAATATAAATATACTATTTTCTCTTTATATAATATTACCATATATTTTATGTTATAAGTCAGCACACCATTAGAATCTTCTCGTTGGGCTTTTATATTTGAAGGATGGGTTGATGATTCTGCATTATTATCTAATGAAGAATCACATGATAATGAACATGAAGAAACTAAAGAAATAGAAAAGGAACAAAAGATGATGAAGATAATAAAAAAACTATAAAAATTAAAATTTCTAATGAAGAAGAAATTCAAGAAGATGAAATATCAAATGAATATGCAGAGGAAGAAAAAGAACAATAAATGAAAATGAATCAAATGAAGAGCAAAATGTTTTTCAAAGTAAAGAAGGTATTAAAATATAATTAATCCAAACTTAAAATATTTTTACAATTTTTAAATATAATACAATTTTAATATATATAGAAGAATTAAGCCATGAAAGTGAATATGAAGACAGAGAACAACAAGAAGATATATTGGAAGAAGATATTACACCAGAAGAATTTGATGATATTAATGTGTTAGAAGAAATATACAGTATTAGTACAGAAAAATTTTCAGATGAAAAAAATATTTTATATGAAACAGATAGTCAATTTGATAAAATAATAAAAATGACAAGAAATAAAGATGAAAAATTTGAAAATTTCGTGGATATTCCTGGTGTTAATGAAATTAATGATGATAATTTAGAACCTTTAGAAGAGGTAAAATTAAGATAAAATTAATAAGATATTATTTCTTTGTATGCAAAGTATTTCATTTAAAATTATGATATATATATCTTAATTAATAACTTTTGTTATTAATTATTTTATTAATTATATTGATTGATATTTTTTTATAAAATATATCAAATTATATTAAATAAACTACATACAATAAACATTAAGAAATATGGCTAAATTTGAAAAAATAATTCATAAAACCTTCAGAAATTTTTCTATTCATAAAAAATTAAAAGCATCAAAATATGTATTTTTTGGAACTAACTTTCATCCAAACATTTTTACTTTATTACATTATTATTAAAATAATAATAATAACAAAAATTCAGATAATATTCAGATGGAACACTTTGCATGCATATATATATATATATATAATATCTTTTATTATTTATTAATTTATATCATATTCTTAATAATTTATATAATTAAAGATTTAATATAATTAAATCTTTTCTAAAAATATTTATTTTATACATATTTTAAATATTTTTCATTAAATGAAATAAATTTTGATTTTAAATAAATTAAATATAATGATATTGATATTATATATGCTATAAGATTTGTTCTGTATATTATAATATTTTAATTATAAGATTTGTTTATATTATTCAATTTTATTCATTTCATTAAATTATTTTATTTCCTTTTAGATAAAAATCCTAATTTTTTAAAAATTTTATTTATTTTCTTATAAAAAATAAAAAAACATTTATTATATTATATTTATTATAAGATGGAAAATTAAATTATTACACATTTTTTAATTAAATTTTATTAATATCTTTTTATATGAAGATTATATGGAAAATATTTAAAAATATATATTTATATTTTTCATTTTATAATTTTTAAAAATTTTTAAAGTATAATATTACATTATTGTTTTTATATTAGGTAGAAAACATAGAACTTGAAGAATATGTTAATGATATAGATATAAAGCCAGAAATAGAAGAAATAGAAGAAGAATCTGCTAATGGTAAGTAAAATATTGTTATATAATAAAATTGAATTACTTATAATTTTGTAAAATTCCTCCATGCTCTTATATATTTTAATATATAAATGTAACATATGAAAAATTATTGTAATTTCTAAATTTTCTTATTTTTCATTTTATTTTCAAATTTCAATGAAAAATAACATCTGATGATTACAGTGGCTATGAAGTTTGGAGTTGGTGTGGCACTTATTGTTGCTGCACATTTTGTCCTTGTGAAACGATGGAATAATGGTAAATGTTGTAATATTTTTGTTTTACAAATTATATTATATTTGCAGATAGATAAAATTTTGATTTAAATTAAAATTTTTTAATTACCATTTTTATAATGATATAAAAATTATATCATTTTTATTAAATTATCTTTAATATATAATAATATAATATCATACTTTAAATTTTAATATAACTCAATAAATTGAAATTCATTTTAAAAATCATTTAATTTTGTAATTTAATTTTAGAAATATTATATTATTTGTTAAAAATGATACAAGAATATATAAATAAAGAAAAAATTATTATAAATATTTCTAAATAATTATATAATATACTTTATATTTAATCTAATCATATAATTCTTTATTTTATATCTTATACCTGTAAATATAGAGATTAATCATGTTTTTTTTTTGGTATTTAGAAGTTATCTTTGTTCAAAATCAATCAAAATTAATTTCATCTGAGAAAAAAAAATGTGGAAGAAAAAGTAACTCTGAAAAATAAATTGATTATTCAAGTAGAAAAATATGAAACAGGAGAACAAGATAAAAGTAAAAAAATAGAAACAAAGGAATTTAAGGAAGAAAAAAGAAAAATAGAAATAATAAAAGAACAGACTAGTTCACAACAAAATGATAAGATTGAAGATGAGGAAGAAGAAGAAATAGAAGATGAAGATGAGAAAGAGGAAGAAGAAGAGGAAGAATTAATAGAAGACGAAGAGGAAGAGGAAGAAGAAGAAGAGGAAGATGAAGAAGAAGATGAAGAGGAAGAAGATGAAGAGAAAGAAGAAGATAAATATAAAACTAATAAAAAACATGACAAAATAGATGATACAGAAGAAGAACAAAGAAGAATATTAGAAATAGAAAATCAAAATGAAAAATGGAAAACAAAATATAAAGAAAATAAAAATATTGATAAAATGAAGCAAAAAAATCAAATAGGAATTGAACAAAAAACAATATCAAAAGAAGAAGAAACAGAAGAAGAAGAAATTGAAGATTTTGATGATTCTGAATTGATTG